CACAAGGAGGGAGCTGCTAGGCCAACGTGCACGACATCTCTATGCAAATTTAATCATTACCCGTTCTGACAGCACCACATCCTCTGAAAAAGACACGACTATCCTTATCCGACGCTCCATCCCACACACTCCATATTCTCGCCCCCAAACCACTGTTCTTGAATGTTCTGCCATTACAATAGGAACATCCTCAAGACCAATCTTCATCATATCATGCTACAAGAAACCCAAAATACCAATCCCTAATTCCGACCTTGACATTTTTAATAACCTCCCATACCCATTCATAATTTCAGGCGACCTAAACAGAAAATCAACTCCATAGGGTTGCGTGACAAGTAACATAGCCAGAAGACTTTCTTAATCAAAACCCCCACATCCTCCTGAAATGCCTCCTGGAACCAACCCACATCCACAATGACGATTCCCACGCCATTCTAGACATCGTTATCTACTCCTCTCAGCTCTTTATAACCATCCCTTATCCCAAATATGATCTCTTCGACACCTCTGACCATCTTCCTATTGTATTCACCTGCTCCACAGTTTTCAACTACGCACCTTCCGCAAACCGCCAACTATCCATTCATCAAACTGGAAAACTTTTGAACACCTCCTTTCCAATAAAATCTTCGTTCCCTCAGATACCTCAACAAAAGAATCCATGGACCACCTAACTTACATCAGACAATCCTACAAGAAATCAACAACATACGCTACAAACCATCATCCCACTCTCCCGATGAAATCCTCGCCATGATTAGACACAAACGAAGAATACAACGACTCTACTACAAATACAGACGAGTCGAGGACAAGAAACAACTAAAACAAACACAATGACGAATACAGACTATTGCGACTTGAGACACGACAAATACGACGACCTACTAAAGGACAACCGCAGCCCCAATAATATACATGTAAAGGCATAATGTAATAATATACATGTAAAGGCAGTACGAAACAACCCCTCTCCAACATTCCCAATCCTAACCATAACAACACCTTTGTCTTTGAGACCCAAACACCATCACCCAATCCTTCGCCCACCGCTTCCTTGCTCTCCTCCCAATATCAAAATCCCAGACAAATTTCGTCGACTACCTAAGAACCCCTTCACTTACTAAATAGACGGCGAATAGTTACATGTTTTCAACTCAATATTTTTTTGTCAATCAAATGTTATTTTGTTAAAAAAGTTAAAAATATTCCACCGTAACGTGTTCACGTTAGGTTGTTAAATTCAATTTTAAAATTTTCCCTATACTTGTTTGTGTTGATTCCATATACATGTTCTGTAGTTAGATAGTTTTTACTTTCCTGCATACATACGTATACATGGATGTAATATACGTAGTATAGTGAAAGTTATGTAATGCTGCGGAAAATCTATTTCGATATTTTCACGCTAATACATGTTTTGTGGTCCCCTGATACCGAAAAAATGTTGTTTTTTTCAAAACGTCCGTCTGTCTGCCCATCCGTCGTCCGTCTGTGCGTCTGTCTGTCCGTCTGTCCATCTGTCCACACCACTAGCGGCTAATCCTTGCATAGGATTTTTTCCAATTTTTTTCAAAAGGATTTTTTCCAAAAGTAAGATTTTCTCTAAAACGTTTTCAAATTTTTTCTTTTAACTTGTGGTAGCGATAGTGCTTTTTGCACTCCATGAGATGACATAAACGCCATTTTGGTTTTGGTTTTTTTAAATATAAAAAAGTAATTTTTTTGACACCTCTATCACGTCAATAATTTTTACATTATCGGCAATTTGTTCACATTATTGCATTTGTGAGTTCGTGCATTAAATTATATCTTAAAAAAAATACTCGAAAACTCAAACGTTTTCTGTGAAAGTGAGCTCAAAATTACCCACTTTGGGAAACGCCGAAACGCTACTTTCACAAAAACAACTCCAATTTTTTTCTTCAAATTTTTCGTAGGGATAATGGGAAATGCAGTTTGAGATAACATAAAATTCATTTCAGTGTATTCTTTTGTTTTTTTAATAATTACACAAATGTAATTTTTACTTTCCCGTATACATACGTATATACGGAGTAATATACGTAGTATAGAGAATGTTACGTAATTCTGCGCGAAAAAACGGAAGATTTTCGTCAGAAAAAAATTCATTGCAGGGCCTTGATAACTGAAAAGTGAATAATCCAGTTGCTAAATTAAGAAAAAAATCCAGCACGTGGTGAAGCCGGAATGCCTGTTTTATGGGTCTTGATACCGAAAAACCATTGACGGAGAAACGTAGGTCCGTTTCTCAGTAGGTGAACACCACTACAGCCTACACCATAGTAAGATTTTTTACAAAATTGATATTCCCAGGTCGGTCTGGAACCCACCTAAGGAGCCGCAGTTTTGAAAATCTTTCTTCAAAATTGGGGTGTACTTTACGTGAAGCCCCAAGGGCATTTTCAAAATTTTCTCCAAAAACCGCTCCAATATTTCTTTAAATTTCTTTTAAGAAAATAGTAAAATACGCTCATAAAGATGACATACGTCATATTTTCACGGTTATCTCTACATTTTCGACAATGCAAAAGTTAGATTTTTTCCGCGTCTTCCTACAATTACAACATGAAAAATAGAGATTTTTCCTTCAAATAAAATTTGTTCTCCGTGGTGAGTTATTTCATTAAGCTCAAGTACATTTTTTGAAACTTTGGTAGTTTTCGCTCAATATTTGCAATTTTAAAAAATTACAAAACGAGATTTTCTCCAAAAATGGCGGCAATTTTTTTCTTTAAACCTTTGGTAGGGATACTGCTAAATGTACTCAATGAGATTACATAATATCCATATTGCTCTATTCTTTTGTTTTTTCAAAAATTACAAAAATGTATTTTTTGACGCGTCTCTCACGTCGTACATATTTACATTATGGCAATTGGTTCACATTGCTATGAGTACATTTGCTTTAAATAATATCATACAAAGTTTCTCAAAAACTTTACTGTGAAAACTAGCTCAAATTCCGCATTTTTAGAAACGCTCAAATGCAGTTTTCTCAAAAACCGCTCCAAATTTTTTTCTTCAAGTTTTTCGAACGGATATTTACACTCTTTAATATGACGTAAAGTACATTTTGTTTTTTTTTAATTACATAAAAGTAATTTTTTGAAAGGACTCTCACACTCTCAAACAATTTGTAAACACTTCTGTATTGGTGAGTTAATGTGCTTCAAATCACTTCTAATGAAGATTTTCGAAAACTCAATTTTCTGTGAAAAAGAGCTTCAAATTTCAAAATTACAGTACAGCTTAAACGCCATTTTCTTAAAAAGGCTCCAAACTTTTCAAAGAAAATTACCTTTTAGGATGAGGTTTTACTGCTCTTTAATATTCTTAAAATAATATATCCTTTTTACTATTAGAAAACCGAAATATTAAGAAAATTTTTTAAAAAATGTTTTTTGGGCGGCGATAAATGGCAGCTAGCAATGCTATGTGGCACGTCCGAATAGCTAGTCGAGACCAAAGGAAGTAGAAAACGAATACGGGAAAGTCTGTGCCATTCTGTAGCAATAGTTTGAAATATGTTTCACCCCTTGAATATGCACATTTTTACCGATTTGTATAAATTATGGGTATTTGTGAGTGAAAGGGCTTAAAATACAAAAAAATATTTTTGGGAAACTAAAACGATTTCTTTGAAAAGTGTCAAATTTGGCATTTACGCTTAAATGCCATTTTCTTAAAAAGGGGTTTCAAATTTCGAAAATTTTCATACAGGACGAGCTTTGACTCTTCTTTAATTTTTTTGAAGTTATATTTCGGTTCCATTATTAGGAAATCGAAAAATTGAGAAAATGGAAATAAATTTTAAAGAAAGGTACTTTGCTGTGCGAGGGATAGCAGATGGCACGAGGATGGGGCAAGACCGAAAGCTAGCACAGACCAAAAACATTAGAAAGCTATTACCAGACAGTCTGCCATTCTGTAGCATCATTAGTTACTTTTTCGCTACTGCTTACGCAGTAGAGAGAAAGTTATCTAATGCTGCGGGAAAAACCGCCGAATTTTCGGTAGAAAAACTCTCACATATTACAGGGCTACTAACGAAAACGTGGATAAATACAGTTGCGAAATTTAGAGAAAAAAAACTTGGTGGTGATTTAGAGAAAAAACCACGTGGTGGGGTTCTTGGTACAGAAAAATAGATTGATGACAAAACGTGTCCTTCCGTGAACAATACTATCGGCTAAACCGATCAGCTAGTTCTCTCCAATATTAATATTTCCCAATCGATCTAGCTAATGTCGCGGCCCCTTGAATTTGAAACCGAAATTTTAGTTTAAGGGGTACTTAACCTAAATCCCCTGGACATTAAAAAAGACTTCAATGTTTTTGATCCGTAGAGTAACGAAATGAGTGAGGGCCCGCCGGCAAAACGTTTTTCCGGGTCTCTTTATAAAGGTGCAGCAAACACAAGTAGCATTAGTACCAAAAGTTATAAAAATCTCCCCCCAAAAATTGGCATCTTTTTATTCGGGCCCAATCGTTACGCCACTGTTTGTCATTTCACTTTGATTTTGGATAGTCTGAATGACGTTTAAGAGAATGGTGCATGTCTCATGTTCTTTGAAAACCTTGATTTTTCGAAAATTGCTAATGTTCAAATTTTTTGGGGGGTGTTTCTACATCTAAAACATTAATTTCTTCAAAAATTTGAGTTCAACAAACAATGACTGAGATGTGTTAATTTGAAGACAAATTGCAGTATAAATAGTATAACATAACCATTACTAAGTACGAGAAAGTATGTGCTTCTGTAGAACCACTTGTTTTAGTTAAAGTTTAATTTAAACACATCATCCCAAATTGAAGGTTTGATTTATTTAGTCAAAAAGTAATCAAACCTTCAATTTGAAGGTTGATTGAAGGTATTTGTTGAATAATCTGACGCTTTTATCGAACACTTATAGATTGAAATCTTGTAGGATGCAGAATGGGGGAACTCCTGAATCATTTTAGAACACAAGCAGTAACAATTATATGTCAAAATATATTTCTTTATGAAAATCTGGCATACATAATGAAGAAATGCCATATAACATCAATGCAATTTCTTGTCACCACTTTTACATAATCAAAGATTTATTTAAATAATGTAAATGCCATCTCAGAAAAACAGTTTGCCTACATACAGTAAATTTCTTTCTTTTGCATTTGTAAATGTACAATGTTTCTTTCTTTTGGAATTGTTATTAAGTGTTAAAAAAATCAAAAAGCATTTTTGAAAAGCAACAGACTTCATCAAATAAGTTAAAAATTTAATAAACGTACATTATCTATAAATATAATAATAATACATATGAAACAACATTTTGAACATGAGTCAATTGCTAAGGACAGGAGAGTACTTACAGTATGTATTGTATTTTCAGTCACTACAATGCATTCCTTTGCCCCAAATATTCTTCCACTCGTGAGTGAAATGGATTATGCTGCAAAAGTGAGTGAAATGAAGGACAACTGACGTCACATTCTAATTTAGCAAGTCTTTTATATGCAATATTTACACCCATACCATGTTCAGTAAATACAATGTAGAATCACTTAACGAAAAGAGAACTTCAGTTAAATATTAGGAAATTCTTAGTAAGAATTTTATCGAATGGTTAGATAAGATTTTTTTTCATTGAAAATGTAAAAACCATCTGAATGTGCTTGCTCCGTGACCATACAGTGGTCACACATTATTTTAAAATGTCCATGGCGTGTCAGACTGGGATTTTTAATTGGATAACCATTTTATCCACAAAAATGGATGAAAGCAAACAAGATTAGCATGATAACAAATGAGCATAGATATTAAATTTTCAGTGAACCTTCATAGAAAAGGCTTGGAAATTTTAAAAAAATTTTAATGAAAAGTTAATAGTAGTAGACCAATCTTTGTTATCGGTGTATTCGAAGTTTCAGCACCAGATTTTGGAAATTGCATCATTTTTAACAAATTGATTAAATATAGTTACCAAAAAAGATTACAAAAACAGTACACCTAAGCTCCAAATTTTAATTTGGAATAAACAATGTAACACTGGTGGTCATGTCACAATAGAGTTGTCAGCAATCTTATTACTGACAACTCTGATACTACTTCACTGATCAAACCAAAATAAGAGTTCGAAGGAAGGTATTCAAATTAAATTATTCTTAAGGTGAAAAATATTAAAAGGAAAGGGATAAATAAACTTTTGCAGATGAAGTCTGCATCCACTGGAAGGGTAAAGAAAGAAATAAATTAAATCAACCAATTTGTATATCAATAATTTTTCACACAAGGTGTGGATGAATGAAGAAGCAAAAACACCTAATGAGCATTTGGAAATCATTTTCAATTCTGGTGTTCTTATGCTACGACTTGAGGTTTAATTTCAGAAATGCAGAAAAAAGGACCTATATCTTATATTAATATATAATATATTAATGTATGTGGCACCAAAATTGTAAGTCATATTATCACATTAACTGACCTAAATGCATATCTCACTTCAACAAAAAATGTATCAAGAAACTAGTACAATATATCAAAAAGTCACAATTATTTGTTTGATTGGTTTGCCAGAAAATTCTCGATTGTAGTCAGACAGGCAAATACTAATTCAACATAAAGAAATGTATCTGCCAACATATGATTTGCTCACAATCTCAATTAATCATGTGCTCATTTTTACCAACAAAAGTTCAGATAAGTGGTGATGTGTAGGTAATAAATTCAATTATTATAAAAATGTGAAAATCAAAAACATGTAAATGTATTTAAAATAACAAATGTAATAATCCATTAAACTGTAACAGGCTGTACTGAAAAATATGAACACCACATAATAACTTGGAGAATCTTTGAAGAAGATATCTTTGAAAAATTACACAAAATAAATTAAGCAAGATATCAATATTTGTGAGTTCTTTTGCAATTGAAAGCAAAATTTCATTCAATTACAATTAAATATCATTTGATTGAATTTCCTCACTTATACTGAAAACTCATTACACTATGTTGCAATTTCCCTTCATTTGTTGTCCTAGACACAGGCACTAACAACATCAACAAATTGATTTATGAAAGTACAGCCAGCTATTTCTGTAAACAGCCATCACAAAATGTGCAGATAATACTAGATGTGCTAGTAATGAGCACACAAAAACGGAATAAGCACTTTTCACTGTAACATTTTTCATTGGGCAACATATCAAATAATTTAAGTTTTAACCACAAAGTGCAAGAAAAATCTTGCTGCATTCTTTTAAATGAATAGTTTGTAAAATGAGAGGTTTTATGAATCTTCAGTTCCATTGGTTTGTTGTGAAGCAAGGAACTCAGAGTAACGTCTTTCTTGTGCTTGCAGCAACTTCAGAAGTTTTTTCTGCAATCCTTTACTCAGCTCTTTACCTTCTACATCATGTGTGGGCAGCCCCTGTAATAAGAGGCAATTTCTGAATTTTTCATGACACCAAGTCACTACAATACTTTCAAAAGCACAATCAAGTTTTGTTGCAAAAAAAGTTGTTAATTTCTTACATCAGAAAATGTTTAGGGAATAAGTGACAATCTGGTGAAAATGTTCATTTTCATAACCAAACATATTTCATGTCATAAAGAATCCAACGAGATGAATTAGAAAAATATAAAATCAAAATATATTAAATTAATTAATGTTGAAGAATTACATACCACTCAATCTTCAAATGACATTTTCAAACAAAGTAAACAACACAAATGCTCATTTTAATGTAATTTTTTTGCCACTGGAATGTTTTCTTTACTAACTGTATAACTTGGTTCCAACTATGGGTAATGAAATATCATATCATTACTGACCTAGGGGATGCATACCTTATCATCAAAACGTGAATACTTGTCAGTTTCAGCTAGGAACATTTCTGCAGGTGGAACCCGTCTCAGAGCCTCTCTTGCTGCAGCTGCTGCAGTTTGCTCAGCTTTTTTGCGTTCACGTTCAGCAGCCTTTGCAGCCTCTGCCTGTTGTTTTGCTACTCGCTCTTTGAGCATTGCTTCTCGACCTACCAGCTTCACAGCAGCAGGACGACCTGAGAATTTAAAAATTTATGCAATTTCTTTTATTAAAAAATTATTATATTGATAGAAAGAATTGCAATTTCAAAGTTAGTTATAAGTATGAGGTTCCTGATGAAATCAAGACTTCCTACAAAATGGACTGCCAAGTCACTGAAATCTGAAATTCAGAGATAGTTAAACTATAAGTAAATTTTTAGTTCAGTAAACAAGAGTGATAAATTCAAAACATTTATGCCGCAGACCCTGTCGCAACTGAAGGTGTCCCTTGTAGTCTTGAACAAAATATCTGACCTTTCAACGCCACCTGGACCATGGCCTTCAACCCCAGTAACTTTTATTTATTTTAGGAAACTGTGTGTGACATTCTATGAGTAGAAGAGCATTCTGGGCATGTTTTCTTAATTCTGGAATCCCTACCCTACATCTTTTACAAGTTGAGTTCTGAATGCAGACAGAAATGAACGTTTTTTAGTCAAACCAAACGAGGAGGTGACATAGCGCAATTTGCAAGCCACTGAAAAACACAGTAGCGGTCATCTCATGGTGTGGGGCTACATGTCAGCGAATGATGATATGGGTAACTTGGTATTCGCAAAGCAGACAATGAACAAAGAGTATTATCTTAACATGCTTAAAACATATTTTTTACAAAAGTACTGAACAAATGAGTCTGCTTCACAATTTTGTTTTATAAAAATAATGACCTGGAGCATACAGCACAAATAGTGCAGCTTTGGTTATTATACAATTGCCCAAAAGTGTTCCATCCACCTCCCAAATCAACCGATCTTAACGTGATTGAAAATCTGTGGCTTTTACTGATAATGTCAGTTATTCTGGAAATTTGCTCTTCTCAGAACTACTCTTATGGTTTCCATGCATGATTTCTTCCCCAATACATTACCAACCTCTTACCACTACTTCAGGATCACTAATAAGAGGATTTCTTTTCACCATTCCTAGAATCCAGTTTTCTTCTTTATTATAAAACTTCTTTGAACGCTCCCATCGAAGGTGTAGCTGGATTCTGTTTTCCTTATTGAACCGCCTTATGTCACTCACTGTACTCTTCTCCTTCATTAACATTTGAGCAATTTTTTTTCCAGCTCTTATCTTTCATATGTTGAAATATAACCAGCTGACATGTTTGAAAATACTGTTTCTCCCTTTGCTCTCCGTCAGTGGATCCCACAATCCCAACTCTTTGGTGACGAGAGCAAACTGTTGCTGGCTCACAAATGTCCAGCATTTGATTCCTGTGGATTTAAACTGTTTCTTTCTACATTTAAAGAACTGATATTTCCATACAATCACTTTGTCCAAAAAATTTTGAGGCACACTCATTTGTATTCCTGATAATTGAAAGGTCATTTTACTTTGTAGAGCTATTTTTTAAAGTCGTTTTCGTTATTTTCGCAGCCATCTCTGATTTACTTAAATTATGCTGAATTAAAATATAATAATGATTTGTGTAAAAAAGTTGACAAAAGTTCTTGAAAATAGCAAATGTCTGAATAATTTTGGGAGTGACTATGTGATACTACACTTTACCAAGTTTTTCTGTTTTCACCGTTTGATTTTCTTGATTTCTCTTTCACTGAGTAATTTTATATGCATTTAATTCAATGGGTCATGGAACTGGAGAAATATTAGAATATTTATTTAATATAAACATATATTAAACATTATTAAATTCGTAGAAAACTTCACACCATATTAGTTCTTTCCTTGCACCCTACTGCTATAATAGTAAACTGGAATCTGTAATTATTACTGGCAAACAATAGTAATGTTTCTGCAGCATATAAATTAAGTGTTAACTTCACCTAATAGTTTAAAATCATTGTTATTATAATTGTTAAAAGTATGGCAATGATTTGCGATTTTTTTTAATACCATACAAAATCACATTTATGTTAGAATTCATATTAAGATATTCAAAGCAGAAAAGAATTTTAAAAATATCTCTTAATCTAATTACTGAAACTAGAACTTGTGTCTTCAATTACTTTTATAAGAAAAGTAAATTTAATTCAATAGAAACATTTTTGTACATAAGTTAAGCTGCTTTCTTTTACAGCCATCATCAGATCTGCTGTTTGCAAATCAAGGCATTACTCTTTTGTTTCTCTCTACTACACACTTACATCTACAGAATACTCTGACAAGCTATGTCCTTATTTTTTGTACTATTACTTCCCTCTATTTTCCAGAAAACAGTGAAGATGTACGGGACCATTATACTACTTGCTTCTAGATGACATTTCAATATTTTTTTCTTCAAGTTTTATCACTAAATGAACATCTAACTAGTTTTCTTAAAATATTCTCCAAGAATAATCCTCACAACAGACTATTGTTAGTATAATCACAACCTTCACAAACCTTCAACATCCTCCAAACGAACTCCCAATTCTGGCAATGAATCATCACGAAGTCTATCACATTCCAGTAATATATCTTTGGCTCCCAATGATCTGGCATGAGATCTGACATTATCACGAAAAGATGCCATAAGTGACAAGTACGGCATTAACTGACTTTCCAACTGCAAAAAGAAAAAGAAAAGATGCATAACTAATAATAATAGTAATACTTAAGAGACCTCTGCCATTTTCTCTTATGCTGTCATATTCTGATTAATTACTTCTACTGGAGATCCAAAGGAAATAAAATACAGTTTCAATATTAATTATTATACAAAATAATGCAACCACAAAACTTACATCACCAGATGTGCTGCCTGGGGCTCCCACAGGAAAGCCAATGGAGGTATCTGAAGGGACAACTCCAAACACACGTAAAAGAAAAGTGATATACCCAGCAACATCATTCAGCAACAAGCTGTTAGCTTCGTGGCTGCCCCAACAATCACGAATATAAATATTTGAGAATGCAACAAGTTCTCTAATATGATCTAAAGCTGTTCTTGTATCAACATTATCTATAAATCAAAATAATTATTTTCTATTATAATGTTCTTTTGGGGGTAAAACTGCATTAATACCAAAAAAAAAAAAAAAAAAAAAAAAGTCAAAATTAACAAATACAAATTACAAAATACGTTTATTACATTTCAAATTTCACTTGGAATATAACCACTCAATAAAAGTAGCATACAATTTTATGAACTAGGTAATATTATAAAACAATTAAAGATATTGTTAAAGTACAGTTTTGGCTACTTAAAAATACAACAAGGTACAAAAATCACCTTACCACAAAGAGCAGCATGGACAGCCTCCTTGCTCTCTCTGAGCTTAGCTATTAACTCCAATTCTTTAGGCCCCCACTTCTGAAAGCAGTCTAGTTGAGAGCCAGTGCATCTTGCCCTGGCTAAGTCCTTGACAGTCAGGAAAAATTCCTAGAATACAAGAAAAGTTAACTTAAAATTTGGAGTAAATTTAGAAACATGTTTGAGAAACCTTTATTGAATACAAAGCACACTGCAAACTAATTTCTTATTTTCAACAATGCTTTGCCCACAAAACCAAAATGCAAAATACAAAACAGAACTCTAGGGCAATATGTTTTTAAATAGTCTTTATTAACTTTTTTTTAAGCATCTTTATAAACCCAATTGTCATTATCATAAAAGATAGCTTTTTTTAATGCTTACAAAAACAAGCAATAGAACCCCCATTAATTTCAGACAATTACAAGAAAATCGAATGTCTTGGATAATTGAATTATTTTTTTACTGATGTGATAATTACAAAATAAATTTTTAAAAAATGAGTAAAACATAATATATGTTATTAAAAAAAGTTCCAATTTTGCAAATAATTTAGAATGATTTTATGGAAATAACATCTTACATTTAACATGCGCTCATATTGGCATGCCATATCCATTGTGCTGGCACTGTAGTCTAGAGTGTCTTTCCATGAATGGAGAAGGAAAGCAAGACGCAACTGACGAGCTGTGTGTTTCTGGAGAGCTTCTCTGATTGTCACAAAGTTCTTCAGAGACTTGGACATTTTGCACCCAGCAATAGTAAGATGGCCAGAGTGAAGAAAATATCGTACCCAGTGATCATTGTCAAAGTAAGCCTGAAAAATTAAAATAGGAAAACTGACTGAAATTGAACTAATTATTTTCTTGGCAGAAAAAAAAATTACAGACAACTGTGAGAGAGAAATAAGAAATAAACTTCATATAAATAGTTCAAAGAGAATCACCCACTAGTATAAGTTTTGTGCAAAGTTTAAACTTAAACTCATTTTCTCCGTGAATGGCTGGGTGATGTTTACGTTTACTTGACCTAAGACTCACTATGTTGATTATTCAGATTGTTTACATTCATCAGTGTTTTGTTCCGACAAGCTTGAATTTACTTGGGAATTGGCAGCACATTCCAACAATGCAAATCAATAGTGAAAAATGATTCTATTAAACTTTTGTGTTAGGATAGTTTTAACAAATTTGTGACAAATTGAAGGAAAAAATTGTGATGATACACCAATGAAAAGAAGAAAAAACTTCAAACAAGATGAGATTGATCTCTTGATAGCATTAGTCAGTGAAAACAAAAAATATATTTGAATGTAAGAAAACTGAATGTTGCAATAAAAAGAGGAATGGATCTGTCCTAAAAATTTAATGAGATTAGTACTTACAGAGGAGTATGAAAATTTAAAAAGGGTGAACAAACAAAAATTTGTAGCAAAAAAGAAATAAGATACAGGAACTGGTGGAGGGCCAGGCCCATCACATTTGACAACTCCCACTGATTTTAAAATTAAGAAATATTAGATGTCTAAGTAATTCGTATGACATCCAAATACAATTCAGATTCAGAATCAGTATATCAACTTTTGCCATTGAACATGACAGACAATGAGCAAAATAACGTACTAAACACATTGAGTTGTAGTTGTTGATATCTTCCATTAGCACTACAACCAAATTTTTCTACTTTTTCTTGTCATTCACTATGACTCTCCACTCTCCCTTATGCGGCACCCGAAGATCTTGTCACATGTCATCCATCCACCGAGTTCTTGGTCTTCCTTTTTTGCACCCACCTATTGCCATCCTTGACATGTTCTTCTTTGGTAGTCTATTCATCGGCATCCTCTGAATGTGACCCAAACATTTCATTCTTTGAGTGTTAATAAATTAGATTATATCTTCCTCTTTTAATAGATTTCTTAATTCTTGATTTGTTCTCATTCAGATGTCAGCATTTACTTGAATCGGCCCATATATTTTACCCAATATCTGTCTTTCAAATATTCTCAGTTAATTTATATCTTTGTCTCTAGGTGTCCATGTTTCTGCTGCATATGTAACAACTGGTCTGATTAGAGCTTTATATAAAATAATGTGTTGATGATACACCATTTGAAATAATTCACTTATCTGAACAGTGTGATAAAATTTGTTTAAAACATTCAAATTGACAACCAGAAATATGAACAAAATCTATTAACATATACCAAGTATTATTACACTATCCAAGTAATATTACAAAGAATTTTAACATCAAGCTCAATATCCAATATCCACCTTAGTTTCAATTCCAATATCTCATTAGCACAATATTCAAGTATTATTACAAAGAACATGAACCTCAGTTTATGTCTCAGAAGACTATTTATTTACTATATCTTTTAAGTGTATTTAATTTATGTATTAATATGATATTTTGTTCTCTTAGCACACTTCATAATGAAAGAAAATACCATTTTTGTTCAGAATTTTTTCACTTTATTGATTTTCTAATAAACTTTGAAAGTATTCATTGATCAGTTAAGTGAGTTTGATAGTATTCTGTACTACAACTGTTTGGTTGTTTTGTTTATTAGAAATGCCATTTAGTTCATTTATAGCTTCTTTCTGCTCATCAGATATGGGAGAGAGATCTTCATTCTCAGAACTGGTTATATTGTGTAAAATAGCTGTTGCAATTATTACACTTTCTATTCTATCAACTTTGTCTTATTCCAGTTGCTAGCACTGGAAATCTTCTTTTCCAAACTCCATACCTTCTCTCCACTGGATTTCTTGTTCTAATAAGGGATTCTTGGAAATATGTTCCCTTGAATTTTGTGGATTTGCTAAGGGAGTAATTAGATAATTTTGGATAACTATCTTCTACCAGAACTGAAGAACCAAATTCTCCACAAAAAAGGCCTCTGCATTTAGTAGGCATGCCTTAAATGAAATAATTTTGTACTATGTATTGTAAGTACTTTAGTATTCTTTATTGTATTAGATGTATAATAAGTGTGAAGAATTTGCCATCGAGATTAATGCCCAAAGCAAATTAAATAAATTATCTATCTATCCATCTATAAATTCAATAGTACTGTAGAAATACATAACAAAATTTTACTACACGAATTCCACTATGATCTACATTGATAAGAAAACTACCAGAAGCATAGTACCACACAACAACAAGAAACTTAACTGCCAGCAAAATGACATGCATTTTGTTGCTTTAGTTTTTAAGATATCTTTAATCTGATGCAAAAACTGTTTGCTGTCCATTTGTGAATTCTGAACATATTGAAGAATTCTATCTCATCCCATTTTTTGAAATGATTAACTCTTGTGTAAATGGTTCCAGCCTTTGTAGATGAATGATTCTATTATGGTCATCATCTTCAATTTCTTTGAATAGTGCAATAAACTATTCAGTTTTTGAGAGTTTCCTTTCACACCAGGTTGCTAAAATGTCCAGAAATGAACATTTAACTTTTCTCAGGTTTAAATGCTGTTTAAAAGTTCAACTGAGTAGGAGAAATCCACAGTTTAAACCAAAGCAGAAACCACATTTAATTGAAATACCTTTTAAACAAAGTTGGAAAAATGGTCTTTAAAGGGAAAATATTAAGAACATCTTATACAGATTAATTTGACATTTGACTAAATAAAAAAAAAAAAAAATTAAAAAAATTATTTTGGCATGAAAATGAAATAGAATTTTACATTATTGTCCATGTTCTATTTTGCAAATAGTTTTCATACCTCTGCCTGAGCCAACTCATTATCATGATGAGGAAAACGCAAGTCAATGCCTCCCGTATGAATATCTAGAGATGATCCGCATATGTCAGAAGCCATCACGGAGCACTCGATATGCCAGCCTGGTCGCCCTTTGCCCCAAGGGGATTCCCACCAAGGTTCTCCTTGTTTGGAGCTTTTCCATAAGGCAAAGTCATTAGGTGACTTCTTTTCACTTAAACGCTCCTCAGAAATGCATAAATCTCCTATTTTTTAAAAAAAAGTCATAAATTTAGGCACATAAGTTTAAGAAAAATCAATTTCAATAAAATGATTAATTACCTTCTCCATCTTGCAAAGACTTGCAGTCACCATAAGCTTCAGGGACCAATTTAGCGTAATGATGGTTTTTCCGAGCATCAAATCCAGCTACATCAAAGTATACCGAACCATTGCTTTCATAAGCCAAACCGTTCTGCACAATTTTTTTTATATAGGAAACAATTTCTGGAATGTATTCACTGACTCGAGTTAATACATTCGGTCTCAAAACCTATAACAATATAGTGTGAGATAAATTTTCAAACAACCAAGTCTTCACGTTCTATCAAAGAAACATTAAGTAAACACGAGATATTTAACAGTTATACACCTAGTATATTTTTTTGATTCTGTCTTATGATGTATTTCAGGATTTAAGACTAGGCATATTTAACATTACCAATTGTTACATCAATGCTTACATTATGTAACAATAATTCAGAATTAATGAATCATGCAAAAATCCCAAGAATTTCAGCAGACTCATCATTCTAAAGCGACCATCACACTTAAGCATGGGAATCAGAAATGGAAGGTCCAGGCAAAAATACCAACAAATATTCTTATCAAAACTGTCTTAATCACAACAATCTTTTCACTGAGATATCTGATTACAGATAAATTGAGAAAACAATGAACTGATATGGTTAACTTGGTTCCCATTTTTCATTAGATTATTAAATTCTATGTTGCTACACCGTTTTCCTGATCTGTGACCAATTTTGCTTTCAATGAGTAACTTGAAAATTATTTCCGGTTCATTCACAACAAACAATATTTCATACTTGCAAAACAACTTCGATTTCCCATTAACATACTATATAACAAATTATTCACCATATAAAAACAAAAGAGAAACAGATAAAATCAAAAATACATTTAAATAAATTAGATTATCCATTACTAAATCTTCTCTAATTCTGGGTTCATATTCCTCTTAATACGATTACTTACATTTAAAGCATCCATATCCTGATGAAACTGAGCTTCCCAATACCGAGGAAGTTTTGAAAATATAGAATTATCTGTTACTGTTGAACCTTGTTCCGCATCCAACCACTCCGAGAGAGGGTCCCTGGCCTCTCGAAGCAATGCCTAGAAAAAATCAACTTTGGTTAAAAGCCCAACTACATAAAGCATAGTGCATGTGATAGTTTTGCAAAAAATTAAACATAAGAAATAATATACACTTACTTCTTGGCCCTCTTTAATTTTTGCTTCATCAGATGCTTTAATAGCAGACTCTAACTCCTCTACAGCGTTACTCATTCTAGCAAGCATCTTTTCAAACATTAATTTCTTGTCAGTGTCAGTGGTTCGCTGCACATTTAATGTAACTCGGTCCATGACAGAACGTACATCTCTCAATGTTTCTTCTAAATTTTTGGATTTCTCTAAATATTTTTCAAATAGATAATTCTGTCTTGCTCTTTTAATAATTTTATCATCTATGTCAGTTACATTCATTACATATGTTACATCGTAGTTGAAATAATTGGAAAGAACTCGTCGCAAAATATCAAAAGATATGTAAGACCTATTCAACAAATAAATACAAATAACTAATTTCATTTTGCTATTTTATGCAAAAAAGAATCCTGTATTATCTTCATACCTGGCATGGCCCATATGTGAAGCATCATACACAGTTGGTCCACAACTATACCACAGCACTCTTTTGCCATTCTGGGGCACAAAAACTTCTTTTTGACGGGTTAAACTATTATAAAGTTTTAAATTTGGCTGTGCAGTTGGTTTTGGTGATTCCCACACTGGTTGAGTTCTTTTAGACATTCTTTTAAACAAAATTTAGAGCATTAAAATCACATGAAAAATACTGACATTAACTACTCTTTAAAATATATTAATATGAAGAACAGATGTCACTTCATTTTAGTAATGTTAAATAACAGCATGTAAAAATGCCTCTTACATTTTAAGAAATTAATATAAATACAAATATCACGAGAACAGGTTGATTTTCACTCAAACTTAAAGATGATGCAAGCTCAACACATGCACTAGCCCTGCACTTCTCACTTGATATAGAACTTCAAGAACAAAATTGGTTTCCAAAATGACACGTTGGTAATGCACCGTGGTAATAGTCACGTTGGTACTTTCTCTGGATTCATTACCACCAAATGTCCGCATCAAATTTCACCAAAACATTTTAGTCTATTAATATTAAAACGGATTTAGTTCATATTTCTATCGGTTGGCAATGTGTCTATGCGATATTTTGGTGTGAATTGGTATTCTGATTCCACAGAAAAGCGAAAAGCGAGGAGCGAAGACCACGGGCGAAAGCAGGCGAGGTCTTCTGCGTGCCTGGCTCTGCCACAAAAACGTATTTGAGTATATTTCAGGCTGTTGTTTGTTGATATTCGTTTATTAGACGGACTCAATCAACTCAATTGTATGTGATTGTATAATGTATAAGTCGCAGATATAATATGATTGTATATACTCTACGATTGTATATACTCTCTGAAATAAGTGAATAAGTGTTGTGTACCCGGCGTGAACTACGTGTGTTTTTTGAAGATTGGTTGCTGTTTTCTTCATACAACCTTAAAAGAAATTAAATTCTTTACATTTGTGTAAATCACATGTTTAAAATTTTTGGAAGTGATGTTGTGACACCTGCTTTTGTGGTAGCATATTTTCAGTGACCTAAGTACATTTATAAAGTTGGAAAGATGAGCATCTATAAACGAGCCCAAGTAAATCTTCCATGAGTTTTATTTATTTATTTAAATTATATGATATTAAATTGCCAGTTTACTTACTATTATGATTTTTATACTGCCCACTGCAGCAATGGACCACTTTTACCAGAGTGTGGCATCTCTTCGATGCTAAGTGGCAAAATCCTTTTGAATCAGCAAAAATTATTCAGAAGTATTTGGCTGGTTTGCACAAACCTATATATGGTCCTAGTGGTAAGTTTTTATGTACATCATCTGTTGTAGTTGCATCAAAATTAACTTTGAGTAAAGAATTTTCAGATTGCCAGAAAATCTCTGTACATTTTTTACTACCTGTGAGGAAAAATTTATTGTTGCAAAGATAAATAAAATATTAATACAGTTACCACAGGTGTTATGCAAGGATCTGTGCATGAACCTTTGGTATTTCTAAACATTAAAGTTATTCCAATCTCTGATTTCTCTGTAATTTCTTGTGCAGATGATACATCAGTAATAAGAAGTGGGCAAAATTTGTGTGATCTAGAAACCAATCTGAGTAAATCTTTAAAATCCTTCAAAAGTTATGTGTTGATAAATCAATTGAAATTAAACATTGATAAAACTTTATTAATCAATTTCAAGTTGCATCATGATTAACAACACCAAAACATTTAAGTGGAAGTAGATAATGAATCGGTAAATCAAACTGGGTGGTATGTTATTCGTTGATCAGAATCTAACTTTTTTGTTGAGTTGAACTAAATCTAACTCTAACAGCATTTATGTGTATATCTATTTGTTTCTCTGTCTCTCTTGGACTGTTCTACATCTGGCACTACCTCTCAGGTTCTGATTTAATTTGGTCTTCTTTTAGAAAAAGTAACTATTATTTATGTCCTAAAATCTTGCAGAATCCTTGGAATAAGTACAGGAGTTTCTGCCCACTTTATGCTAATTTTTGTTGACCTGACATTTTCAACTATTTTGAATATTTACGTAAAATTATTATATGAAGTGAAAATATTCACATTTTCCTCTTTCTGTTTCACAACTATTCACTCTATATATTATGAAATGTGACAAAAACATGTTTTCATGTACAAAATAGTTTTGATTCTATCTTTGAAGGGAATAAGTATTTTTGACACTGTTTAGATATTTTCTACATTTTGATATAGAATGTATGAAAAAGTGTCTCTTTTTGTCTTAACAGCAGATACAGGAGACCATGTCGTGGTGATTAACAGTAAAGAAATAGCTCTGCCTGGAGATGAATGGCAGAAGAGAGTGTATTTTCATCACACTGGTTTTGCTGGTGGAGCCTCTTGGACATTTGCATGGGAGCTGCATGAGAAAGATCCTACTTTGGTAATTGATTCATAAACAATCTTGAATATGAGAATTCAAATTTTTTATTTATTTATTGTTCTCATTCAGCTCTAAATGGAAATAACTGGTTCAATAATTATTTATTTAAAAAAATAATGCTGACAATAATTTGATTCTGAGTAAATGAATAAGAATATTATTATCCTCTAATTCTGTTCTAAATAAGTCAGCTGTAGCTTAACAATTACTGATAATTAATGAATTATTTTGGATTTAATTAATTATTTTGGATTTTATTTTGTTTTACCAGCTGTGGTAAAATCCAAGATATTGCTTGCTTACTTGTGAAACTTTATAAGTTTGAATTTTATCAATTAATTGTTTTGGCAACGTTTTATTAATCATTTCAATCAATACAGTAGTATATTTTCTTGTAATAATATATAGCAGTGCCAGAATGTATCAGGTTGCTGAGCACCCTAAATCTGGATTCGGTCTCCGATTGAAATGTATCTGATTTTCAGGATACTGATTTCCATTTCATTCTGGTCATTTAAAATATTCATTTCTTGTATAAATATTGAAGGCAATTTCAGTTTTCACGAGTTCTATTAGTTCTGAAAGATTGCTGCTTAAGAGTATGACTTTATAATTAATTGGGTTGGGCACTATCTGTAAGAATGTTATTTTTTAGGTTTTGAAAAAAGCAATTTACAACAGCATGAAGGGCAACCTGTACAGACACACCAAGATGGAAAGATTGCATATATATCCTGATGCCAATGTACCAAAGGAAATTCTTGAGAATGTTACAAATCAGATCCGGCGTCCAAGATTAATACCAAAAAGACTTGATGAGTATTCTGAAGAAGAAGTGGAGAAGTTTCCAAAACTCATAGATTATCCAGAGGACTATGTAATACAAAAAATAAAGTAGAATTTATGAATGACATGAATTCAATTGATATACTGTTTCAGTGTGACTCGTTTACTATTTAGTTCTAATATAATGAATTTCCCCACTGTGAACTGGTTTTGAAATGTTACCTAATTCAGAGATTTACAAAACTATCAAAGCGTTATATATTTCTTTCCCTTTAGATTTAGCTTTTCTGAGATGAAATATTAATACCGTTATAATTTGGTGCATTAATTCATTACTAACCTGAGGAGAAATTTTGTGTTTAATCTGTAGAGTTTGTATGAATAAAGTTTTATTAGTTGTATTTATTCATATCACTTTCTCACAAGTTATTATGTTAAAACAAGTACGAATTGTGTATGTACTGCACCTCTCTGGAAGGAAACATTAATGTGAGAGGGCAATGTTTGTACATGAATTATAATTAGTTGTAAGTTATGTTAAGACAAATTCATGTATTGATGTTTTACTGATAACTCCTCATTTTTGAGAATTTATTTTTTTGGCAAGATGTCATAGAGATTAAAAACTATTACTTTTGGTGCAGTGAATTTAAGCATCTCCAGTTAATTGAAGATTTCATCATTCAAATCAATGCATTCAATTACCACTTGAATGAAATGATAGAACTTCGACAAAGGAAAGAGGAAAGAAAAGAAAAATTAGTTTTGAGGAGAGATGGCTCGCTGTATCAACTGATGTCACTGCAGTCCTTCTCACTGGGAGGTGCTAGGTTTGAGCCCTGATGGTGACAGGATTTTAGACACTAGCGTGTCAGCTAGGTCAAATTCAGTTGCTGTCTGGAGGAGAATTCTAGTGGTCAGATGCTTTGATTGGTAGTTTTCCTTGGTTTCTCTGATCAATACCAGGCAAATGCCGAAGCAGTACCCTAACAAATGGGGCACAGAGTGGGTGATCTTAGCTTCCTCTTCCTTGTCCTATCCTCTCTTACACACACTTACACTAACATGCACTCTACTACCACGCACCGGTAGACTGGTTGGGAGCTTAGAGGGGATGATGCCCTACTGATGGGAGATACCTGGGTCGGGAGAACCCCACTACCCGACGGTAGGTCAGCTCCGGATCTCGCCATTCAGCAGGAGAAAGACTGCTGCCACCTTTCGAGCCAAATCATGCTCTACACAAACAGGGCTAGTGACCCAGTTGACGTACCCAGAATAACTAACAATCAATTGATTCATTTAATTGGAAATTTACTGAACCAAAGTGACTGGTAATTATATTTCTTTCATTTGACTTGCGAGTATTTGACATTATTCTCAATATTCATGCTTTTTAGATAAAAGTAAGAATACTTTCTAGTAATTTCCTCAGAATATGATTCCATATTTTACATGTGAATAGTTTGCAAAGTACTGTGTGCATAATGTATACAAGTTAGAATTTGACCTAAGGGTGTAATTGGCATAACATGACTTGGTGAGCTTAATATTTAGATGTATAATGTGCGAGTTCCATTTTAGATCAACTAAATAGTCAACCCAAGGAAGCATGTTTTTGATGACCACTTGTGCTGGTGGCTTTCCTTTGAGAGTGGATTCTCCAGGAAGACAGTTTTACACATGTATAACATTCTCAGGTTTTACTGGTGTTTATCAGGAGTTTGTCGTGGAACTAACCTATGTTCAGGGGCATGATGGTGATGTATTTAAAAACTTTTAAGGGCCCTAGGATTGAGCTTCGTGGTATTTAATAATTTATCATTCTAGGTTGGGAAAAATGGATGAAATCTTTTTATTATGAACATGCTTGATTGTGACTATTTATCTTGTGGCAAATGCATAGGACCCATATATAGAAAAGGCAGTCCAATACATCACAATGTGACACTACAACAGTAAAAAAAGTCTTCATGGGATACAAAACATAGTTAAGTCACTAGAAGGGAAACGTTCAGCTTCTTAATCCATTGTGTCTACTTGATTTGGAAGGTAAGATTTAACTCATTGATATGCGAGTCCTCCAATTACCAAAGTTTCAAATTTTCATATCTGTGTGATGGGCAGTAATGTCAAATGTTTTTGATAACTCTCAAAATAAAACAGTGGGAATTTCTTTCTGATCTAGAAAGAGTTTGCCATTTGAGCTTCATTTGTAGTTCATTTGAGCCAATGAACTACAGGCCTATTTCCCTGTTATCAGGATTTTCAAAAATTCTGGAAAGACTTTTCAATGA